ACCAGAAGGCCCATTGGCCAACTTCCAACCCACCCTTACCCCACTGGCCTCATGCCCTCAACTCTGAACTCCCACCCATGGGCAATGACTAATAAGAAACAAAATGCATCATATCTATCTGCCGTTTATGACAAGGAACATAAAATTTATTAATTTTTTTTGTTAAATCATAGCTGTATACATTCATGCATTTATGGGGTACAATGTACTGATTTTATATATAATTTGGAATGCTTACATCAAACTGGTTAACATGGCCTTCACCTCACTTTCTTAATTATTGTGTTAAGACATTTATACTCTATACATAATAGATTTGCCATGTACCCTTGCAAAATGCACCATAGGTGTGGTCCTGACGATTACCCTCCTTCCACCCATCTTCCTCTCCCTCCTCCCCTCCTCTTCCCCCTTCACCTTGGGCTGTGGTTGGGTTATATTTTTCATATGGAAGTGTGGGTGATTATATATTGGTTTCGTAGTAGAGCTGAGTACATTGAATACTTTTTCCTCCATTCTTGAGATACTTTACTAAGGAGAATATGTTCCAGCTCCATCCATGTAAACATAAAAGAGGTAAAGTCTCTATCTTTTTTAAAGCTGTGTAATATTCCATGGTGTACATATACCATAATTTATTGATCCATTTGTGGGTTGATGGGCACTTGGGCCTCTTCCATGACTTGGCGATTATGAATTGGGCTGTGATACTGCTGCTAGAAGGGGCCTTGGAGATCCTCTAGACCAAGCCCTAATTTGATATATACCTGAGCCAGAGAAAAGAAATGACTTCTGTACTATACCTCTGTAAACAAGTGATGGGCGCCCAGTCCCTATAGCACCATCTATTTAATTCTCCATATGGCACTTGTCTCTCACGTTTTCTTGCTTCTGTGCTTATTTTCTTTCTCCCCCTGGCATGTGAAAGTAATATTGAAGACCAGAGTCCTTGACTGTCTAAAACAACCATTTTGTCTATTAAGGAGACACTTAGTAAACATTTGTTGATAGAGGAATGAGCCAGATTTGTTCCTGCCTGAACGCATGATCTTTGCAGAAGACCTTGGTTTGGGGGTCATCAAATCCATACTTTTATTTCCTACTGGGGCTTTGCTTATCAATCCTACAGAGACTGAAATCATACAGACACTAAAATCTATGAAGCAGTAACATTGTACAGCAGTTCATGTGGTTTCTAATGTGATGAACTAAAAATATTCATTATTATATTACTTTGAAAATATACACTGACAAACTCACATCCATTAGAACAGTGGTTCTCAACCTTCCTAATGCTGCGACCCTTGAATACAGTTCCTCATGTTGTGGTGACCCCCAACCATAAAATTATTTTCGTTGCTACTTCATAACTGTAATTTTGCTACTGTTATGAATTGTAATGTAAATATCTGATATGCAGGATGTATTTAGGCGACTCCTATGAAAAGGTCGTTCGACCTCCAAAAAGGTTGCAACCCAAAGGTTGGGCTGTATTAGAATGTCTGCTATAGGTCAGGTGCAGTGGCTCATACCTGTAATCTCAGCATCCTGGGAGCTCAAGGTAGGTGGATTGTTTGAGCTCAGGAGTTCAAGACAAGCCTGAGCAAGAAAGAGACCCTTGTCTCTACTAAAAATAGACAAATTAGCTGGGCATGGTAGCAGGTGCCTGTGGTCCCAGCTACTTGGGAGGCTGAGGCAGGATTGCTTGAGCCCAGGCGTTTGAGGTTGCAGAGAGCTATGATGCCATCACCATATTCTAGCCAGAGTAACAGAGAAAGACTATTTTTTTTTTTTGAGACAAAGAGTGGCTACTATAAAAAAAAAAGAAGTGTTGGTAATGATGTGGAAAACTTTTAACCCCTGTGCATTGTTGGTGGGAATTAAAATGGCACAGTTGGTACGGAAAACAGCATGGCTATGCCTTAAAAAGTCAAAATTAAGGCTGGGACAGTGGCTCATCCCTGAGTCGTCATAGCACTTTGAGACGCTGAAGTAGGAAGATCACTTGAGGGTAGGAATTCAAGACCAGCCTGAGCAACATAGCATGACCCTGTCTCTATGAAAACAGAAAACTTAGCCAGGCATGGTGGCACGCACTCACGGTACCAGCTATGCAGGAGGCTGGGGCAGGAGAATCACTTGAGCCCAGGAATTTGAGGTTGCAATGAGCTGTGATGACACCATTGCATTCTAGCCTGGGAAATAGAATGAGACTTCAACTCAAAAAACAATAATAATAACTACAAATTGAATTACCATACCGTCCTGTAATTTCACATCTCGGAACATCCCCCCAAAGAATTGAAAGCAGGATCTCAAAGGATATTTGTACATCTATATTCACAGAAGCACCTTTTGTGATGGCTAAATGATGGAATGAGCCCAGTGTCCACTGACGGGCGAATGGATAATTAGAAGGTGTTATATGCACGCGATGAATATTATTCAGCCTTAAAAAGGAAGGAAATTCTAAAACATACTACCACATGGCTAAACCTTGAGACCATTGTGCTAAGTAAACTAAGCCAGTCACAAAAAACAAATACTGTCTGATCCGCTCAGATGCGGTACCTAGAGTCACATTCATAGACAGGAAGAAGAATGTGGGGGACAAATGTGGCATTGCTGCTCAATGGACTTAGAGTTTTAGTTCTGCAAGATGAGTTCAGGAGATTAGTTCAGAGCAATGTGAATCTGCCTAACACTGTTCAACTCTAGCATTAAAAATGGTTAGGATAGTGTATTTGACATGGTGTGTATTTCGCCACAAATGTACACGTCTGTTACCTCATTTGCTCCTTATAATAATTTTGAATGGTTGTTAGAAATATAAGTCCCATTTTACAGTGAGGAAAACAGGCTCACAGAAGTGAAAGGAATCACCCCCGACATGTAACTAGGAAAAGTCTAAGTCGAGCTTCACACTCACATCTCCCGATTCCATGGCCAGTGCTGGCTTCTGCTGCCTCAGAGGAGAGAAAGTGTAATTGAATGCCCTTGTTTTCTGGTTGGAGTATAAGGAATAAACCCTGGGCAATTTGTGGAGAGAGCTGTGCGTGTGGGAGAGTGTGTGAGAGGGAGGGACGAAGTGAGAGCAGAGAGGAGAGAGGGCAGGCGGCTCCCAGACACCCCCGGCTTGGCTTCCTGCTTCTTGTTCCACTCCCCCCTCCCTGAATCTCTGGAAGGCAGGTGTGAGTCAACTGTAAACACAGGGAGAAAAGGTCACCGTCTTCCCTCAGCTGGCACAATCAAAAGTCACTGCCATGGAGATGGTCTGCGTACATGGAATTAAAAACCTTTAAGATGACTGGGAGAAGAGAGTGGCTCTTACTTTTTGAAATGGCTCCAACAAATGACCTTCTACCTCCTGCGGAGGCAAAAAGTGACAAGATGCACTTATGAAAATAAATGAGGTCTGGTGGGAGAAAGAGGAAGGTGGGAGGAGCTTGGGACAGGAGAGTCAACCTTGTATCTACCTGGTGGGGCACCCGGCAGCTGACGCCCTGTATAATCCCAGCCACACTCTTCCAAGGGCTGCCCCAAGGGCTGGGCGGCCATCACTACCATCCTTTTCATGGTGGATTTCAGCAGAATTTACTGAGAAGAGCATAATCTCTTGAAGGGAGTTAAGAATACAAGAGGATCATCTTGCCCCTTATAAAGAGGTTTCATTTGTCATGAATAACCTATTGTGTGTCAGGCACTGTTCTGGGCACTTTACGTATGGTAACCCTAATCCTTCCACCACTTAACAACTTATTTTTATGATAGGACTTACAGGGAAGATTGAGTTTCCCAAAATATTTACCAAGGTAGTAAAGAGCAGAGTTAGAATTCGTTTTCTTCTTTTTTTTTCTTTTAGGATGTTGAGGACACACATGTTTTGTTTACATAATTTGTTTTCTGCACATACTGAGTCAAGGTTAGAAGCGTGCCCCCCACCCCGACAGCATGCACCATGCCCAATAGGTGTGAGTTTCCCCAACCCCTCCTCCCTCCCTCCAGCTTGATTTTCACTGAGATTTACACCCATGTGTTCCCTTAAGTGTTGATTGGTCAGTTCCAACCTGGTCTTGTGTACGTGTCTGTGTTTTTCCAGTCCCGTGATGTCTCACTTAGAAGAATGATTTCCAGTTCCATCCAGGTTGCCACAAAAGATATGAGTTCACCATTTGTCTCCATGGCTGAGTAGTGCTCCATAGTCTGCATATACCATGTTTTATTAACCCACTCATGTATCGTGGGCCCTTGGGGGGTTTCCAGGTCTGTGCGATCGTGAATTGTACTGCTATAAAGGTTCGAGGGCAGAGTCAGCATTTAAACACAAGCCTGTCTAGCTCCAAAGTTTGTTCTTTACTCCATAGTGTTAAGTTCAACAGCCAAGGTACAAAGAGCTTTGCAAGCACCGAGGAGTCTGGGGAGAAGTTCGCCACGCCTGTCATTGCAGGGGAAATTTTGATGGAGAGGTGGGCATTGACCAGCAAGAAAGCAGTGCACAAGTAGATGGGATGCATTTTGTGATGTGGGAACACAAAGCAAAGCGGAGGTGGCGGGGGTTACAAGATTTCTAGACAGTCCTAAACAGTCCTGTTTGGGTTGTGGGTAATTGTGCTGGGCTATGTCTGAAGATCATAACTCCACCAGCTTTGGAACTGGTCGGGACCACAGTACAAAAGCTTGAATGCTGCATGATGCAGCTCAGAACTTACTTTTATCAAATGGGGAGCCGTCAAAAATCTGGATCAAGGGGTTTTTCCACAGTTGTTAGTAGTATTATCTAAAAGTATTATCTGCTTTTTATAGGCTATGAAAAAATTAAACACACCTGAAGTGTTTTAAAGAGAACATAATCATTTTCATGCCATCTCACGTAGACAATAGCGTTACTGCTTAATGTTACCCAGTAGCTTGAGTATTAATAATCGTGTGACATTAGCAGTGAAGTGAGTTAATCACGCTGGCTTTTTTCCTGGAATAATGAGACAATATTGTTTTCTTTTATGTTTTAGAAAGGGGTAAAAAACTTTGAGGAACTTCGAGCCAAATTTCAAAATCGGGATGCTCCACCTCTTCCAGGTCCTATCAAATTCCCAGCAGGTGTTTCTCAAAAAGGTGACACGGGGAGCCCGCAGTCAACCCAGATTCCAGCTAACAGGAAACTGCTGGCATCCAGCCACAGGCAGCCTCCACCATGTTCCAGTGGCGAGTCCCAGCCTCTTCCACCCCAGAAGAGTGGAATTCAGAAATGCTGTAATTCCCCAGAAGCTCTGGGAAACCCTGCCGAGTGTCCTGCCCTCGATTCACAGAAGGCTCCTCCGTTGTTAGATGTGACTCAATCAAACGCTGAGTTACCCGATGCAGAGAAAGTAACGGTGGCCAGTAGCTTCAGAGAGAAGCTCCAGAACTGGGAGAAGGTCTCATCTCAGAAAAGTGCAATGCCATCGACCCTTCTCTGGGCCACTTGGGAAAGTGAGACCGCCCGTGTGGAGAGGCACAAAGGCCTGGGACTTACTGCACGGGAGTCGAGGGGCAAGGAGGAAGTAAAAGGAGCCCAGACCCTTCCTTCCCAGAGGCACCTGCTGGCCCAAAGAAAGTCGCTCACGGCCTCTGAAGATCCTTCTTTTCTACTCTCTCCACATGGCAGGCAGAGCCAGAAAAATCCCAGGCCCAAGAGAAGCCTGGCAGGAGGTCTCTATCAGCCTATCTACGAGCGTGAGCTTGCCAGCCAGGCCCCAGGTAAGAAAGTAACCGGCACGCGGTCATTCTGGTTTTCTAATTTAGAGTCTGTTAACTTGGGGCAGTCATACATGCATACACCAACTGGGCAATGCTGCTCCCAACTCCAGTGTGAATATTCTAGGGTGACTATCTGCTACATGGTAACCTCAGGTTTAAGTACAGTGCTTCATCTCCCGGAATTACACTGTGAGATAGTTTGACCAAACATGCATTAGAATCCTAGCTCTACTTCTTACAAGTTGGATGTACTTGGGACACACACACACATACACATGAACTTGGGTCACACACACACACACACACACACACACACATATAACTTCTTAGAGGCTGGTCTGCTGTCTTATACATCAAATGCAATTTTCAATCAATTGCTAATCTTCTGTCTCAGGAAGTAGCACAACGATTTCTCAGGCCAAAAACCTAGGAGTCATGCTCTTTTTCCCTCCTCATTCTTTGCATTGAATTCTTGAGCAAGCTCCTGGTTCTACCACCAAAATATGTTCTGAATGCCTCTCCTCTGCCCTTATCCACACCACCAGCATCATCTCTCCCGGGACCACTTCATCAGCCCCCCACCAGTCCTCCTCCTCCCATACTCTTCCCCTCTTGTATTGTATTTTCCTCCTTCTAAGGAAGGATCACATTGTTCTGCCCCAATCAATTTACTTCTTGCCCATTTGCCCTCTCCTCCGTCACCCCCTTGCTTTTCCTTAGACCATGCTACTTCCAGCCCAGGTGTCCACCTGGGACAACCTCCCCCCAGGTCTTTGGGGTTTCACTACATCACTTCATCAAGGCTGTGCTCATGTGCCACCTGCTCTGAGTCGACCTCGTTGATTACTTGATCTACAATAGTTACTCCACGCCCATCCTCAAGGCACTTGGATTATTTAAGATTTTATGCTGTTTTCAGTAGAAGAGGCAGATAAGATTTTCATACATAATATTGGAATTCCTGCTGCAGTTGGACTTATGAATGCAGAAGAATAAAATATATAAAATCACAGTTCTCCTAGAAAATTCCACGTAAAATTCACAGGTGCCCAGACACCACACAGTTGGCCTTGAAGCCAGTCCCAGGCTACGAGCCTTGGACATCAGAAGTCAATGCTCGCTCCTCGTTCTGGCCCCCTGTTATTTGCACATCACTGGTGCTTGAGGAATCCATCCAGTGAATAGTCACAGTCCTTCTCCTCTGAAGTAGGCCCTGAGCTTGGTGCTGGGAGGCCACTAGGACATAGTCCCTGTCCATGGGAACCCATGTTTAATGAGAAGATTAGCCAATGTCTCCAACAGAGCACCCAGGTAGAGAGATTAGCAAGGTGCTTACAGGGATAGGAACAGGGAATGGTTAATTCTGGCCTTGATTTCTGATAGACATAAAATAAAACTTTCCAGAGGAGGTGCCTTTACAGCACAGCCTTAAAAGAATAAATTAAAGTTTGCCAAGACAGGGAAGAGCATTTCAAAACCAAGAAGGGCATGAACAAAACCTTTGGTCCATGAGCACCTTTTAAGGCTAAGTCAAATCTGGAGAACCAAAAAGCCCATGAAATAAATGAGAAATGTTTGAGCTTAAGGTTGGGGAAGCAGGACATTACAGGGTCACCAGGAAGGACCCTAGAAGCACAGGTGTGGCCAGGTGGGGTAGACATGGCAGAGGGGAGTGACCGATGTCCCGCTGTCACCAGGGTGGCAGCCTGGTGACTAGTCATGTTTGTGTATTGCTTAGGGCTCTCGGCTGCTGGACAGAGAAGAGGGTGGGAGGGAGCGAGGCAAGAAGACCAGTCCATTTCCCCCGAAAAGCTATGAAATGGCAGTAATCATAATGTACACTGTTTTACTCTCTGTGCTTAGAGAAACAGCCAGATGTCCGGCATCACTACCTTCCCAAAACGAAGCCACTGCCTTCCGTCAAGTCCCTGGGTCCTCCTCCCCCAAAGCCTGCAAAGCCCCCTCTCGTGAGACTCCAGGCCTTCCAGAGGCAGCTGGCCGCTATGCCCAAGACCCGACGGGAAGGTAAGGAAAAGCCCAGGGCCCCCCATGTGGCCAGAGCCTGTACCCCAGTCTCCTCCCTGTCCACATCGCCTCCCAGGTGACGACAGGCTACTGTTTTTCCAAGGCCATGGACATCCATCACTGCTCCTTCTCACACAGAGGCCGTGGCAGCTTGCCCGTGAAATGACAGATCTGTGCACTTGGGCCCTTATCACTCCAGGGCCAGCCCACTTCCCCTGAGAGCACTGCTCTGGGTCGCTGGGAATCTGTCCAAGAGGAAAAAAATGGAAAGTCTCTGAGCAGGGGTGCAGCGAGCCTTTGTGTTCCTGCAAAGCCTGTGTGTTGTCAACACAGTGTACAGAAAGGGGAAGGGAGAAGGGAGGGAGCAAGCGTGAACTTGACCTGGAGCTCCCCTCAGACCTCTGTGATCTGCCTTAAAGTAATTCATTGAAGACACCTCTCCCCGGAAGCCCCTGGTCCTTCCAGGGACTGAAGCATCCCTGGAAGCCATTTTTCTATGTCGTTTCTGCGTTAGCTCTGCCATTGAAAGGAACATGCGTCACCCCTCCCTGCTCCCACCACAGTCTGATCTCGTTGACATTTTAAACACCCCAGCTTATGTTCACGCACCGTGGTCCTGGGCTAACATTTGTTTTGCTGTGGCCATCAGCACCAGCAGATGGTGCACCCACAGAGCTAGCGGCCTGTGATTGTTCATTTATCTGCTGTGGGCAATGTCATGGCTAAATTATTCTAACTCAGTGGTCCTCAAACTTCACCACACATCAGAGTCACCTAGAGGATTTGTTAGAACACGGATTGCTGGGCCCCATCCTCAGAAGTTTCTGCTTCCGTGGGTCTGGGATGGAGCCAGAAATTTGCCTTTTCACAAGTTCCAGGGGCTGTTGATGCAGTTGGTCCAGGGACCAGACTCTGAGAATGACTGCTGCAAGTCACCTTAAGCCTGGCCTTGAGAGAACATTCTATATGGGAAGACAAGGCCGTTAAAAGTACACCTTAGCAATATGGCTACCTCCTTATGATAGAAGACTAAGTGTGATCTCTATATATATTAATTAAGGCCTCAAATCATCACTCTGAAAAGGAAGGAGGTCTGTCAAACAGCATAGGGCAAAGTCCTGATTCTTTTCTAATGAAATGGCTTTGTAGACCCTGCTCCCTGAATTATTGGCCATTTAAGTTTGGGCATGTCACTCACTCAGCTTCATTTTGCTTTGCCTGTAAAGCGAGGCCAATAATAACACAGGCAGTGTTAGACAGTGCTCAGCACACCAGTAAGTGCTCAATAAATGTTCAAGGTTATTTTGAAGAAACATCAAGTAGCTATATTCTATGGGTGGTGTCCTTTGATGGAAACAAGAGATTCATGCTTGAGCTCAGGAGTTTGACACTGGCCTGAGCAAAGCAAGACCCCGTCTCTACTAAAAAGATAGAAAAACTAGCCAAGCATCGGAGCACACGCCTGTAGTCCCAGCTACTCGGGAGGCTGAGGCAAGAGGAACTCGTAAGCCCAAGAGTTTGAGGTTGCTGTGGGCTAGGACACCACAGTATGCTAGCCTGGGCAAGAGAGTGAGATTATTTCAAATACATTTTCAAAAGGAAGAAAGAAAGAAGAGAATTAAGAGCTAAACCCCACAAGGCTAGAGCCCCAAGCTCAAAGCATGAGGCTGTGCAGGAGAGCGCTGCTGGGACTGCACAGGTGAGCTGAGCCCCACACTTCTCCCTGGGGTTAGGTCATGGCACGAGCATCAGTCGCGTTAATAGGGCTGCCGTCTGTGTCTCTTGTTTACTCTGCCTTTTGCTCTTGCAGTGACTGTGGAAGAAGGCCACCTGTCCCTGGAGAGGTAAGTGCATGTTCCTTAATTGTGCAAGAGGATGGCCCATGAGCCAGGGCCCTTAGCCCGCCCAAGAGCAGGCAGTTAGCACAAGCCACACAGCTGCATTTCTCAGAAGCGCTGCTGCAAGAGCAGACTTGTAAGCACCATGCTGCAACTTTTGTTTTAAATGAAAGATTAAATAAACTGCATTTAACGACCGTGCTGACATTAAGTTGCAAGGATGATCCTCTGAGGTATTTTTTTTTTTATTATTACACAGTTGGGTTCGGTAAATTGAAACATCAGCTTCTATAGTCATAAATGGAATTAGAAGCTAAAGAATGCTCTGGGCAGCTAGTGTGCTGTTAGGAATTGGTAATGGGATAAAGGACATTCTATTGCGGTGCCCTCATTCTAAGAATTGTGTCATGTTAAGTGTCAGCTCATTAACTCACTCCACCAAGTAATATCTATAGAGTCCTTTGATGTATTGGGCACGGAGCTGGCTACTTAATAAAGAGTCCCTCGTGTGGTCGCCTCAAGACGGATGCACACTTGCTACTGCTGTCTAGTGTTACAGGTCAAGGCTCCTGGACACAGGAAGTTTGCCACTTGCTGGGCCGTGATTCCAGCCCAAACGTGCCCAGACTATTTTGATTATATACGTTACCTGTCTCACAAGGATGTTCCCCGTTCTCAGGAAGATTTGACTGAGAAGGAGTGCCAAACTTAAAAACAAATAATTAGGGTGGTGCCTGTGGCTCAAAGGAGTAGGGAGCCGGCCCCATATGCCGGAGATGGCGGGTTCAAACCCAGTCCTGGCCAAAAACTGCAACAAAATAAAATAAACAAATAATCATAGTACTCATTACCAAGTGTTTTTTTCCTTTTTTGCACTTTTTGGCCAGGGCTGGGTTTGAACCCACCACCTCGAGCATATGGGGCTGGTGCCCTACTCCTTTGAGCCACAGGTGCTGCCCCATATTACTCATTACCAAGTGTTTATAATAGTAAAGTGTGTCCTTGTTAAGTTTTGTGATAGTGGAAGATGCATGATTCAGAGTTTGCTCCAATGAGGGTGTGGTTGCATTTACTCCAGACGGTCAGAGGAGTCTTTAAAGATGTATGAATTATCCATCACTACTGTAATACCATGCACTAAACCATCATAAAACTTTCGTAGCAAATAACATTTGTCTGTGGGATCCAGCTGATCTGGCCTGGGGTCAGCTGGGCTTGCACGTACGTTTGCTGTCAACTGTGGGGTCTCCAGGCAACTTTGCTGAGAGTTAGGTTGGCTTTCTAGCAGCAGAGACTGTCAGGGGTGGCTCACTCATATGGAGTAGCTTACAGTTGGCTGATCTAGGATTGGCTTGGCTGGGATGACCAGGGCACATTGACGAGGCACCGTCTGTACCTCCTCCTCCAGCAAACTTGCTCAGGAACATTCTTCTAGAAGTTGCCCCAAGCAGTGAGACAAGCCCAATAGCACTTTTCACGCCTTTGCTGTGTTTCCTTTGCTGACATCTGACCAGCAAAGCAAGTCACATGGCCAAGCCCAGAGTCAGAGCAGGAGGGCAGCTAAAGTTTATGTGGCAAAGGGCAGGGATCCAGGAAGGAGTGAAGAATAGGGGCATGGATCCAGTCAACCTGTCCCTGCGGAGGAAACATTTGACATGAGTATTGCTGCAGTGCATATAAGGCACTCTACGCAGAGGCAGGAGGTGTGAAGTAAAGCGTCTAATTGGTGGAAACTAGAAATAGTTCAGTAGAGTTAGAGTGTAGGAGGAATGGGAATGGGATTGTAGCAAAAGACAGGAGCCACAGCACGGAGGATCTTGTACACCAAGGAATTGACAGGATGATCTTGGTCAACAAGGGAGTTAGTGTGGGGTGCTGGGCACCATTCATATGTTCCAGGAATTCCTGGGTTAGTTGTCCATTTGCAAGTTAAATGACAGCATGGGGTAGGCCAGTGGAGCCCTCTTTGATGTGCATTCATTCGAAGGAGAGAAAATAATTTAGGTGGCTCAGACAGGGGTTTACAGTCTTCACTCAGTGATCACAGGCCCCAGTGTGACAGTTGGAAGGGACGACACACCTGTGCCGTGTTCTCGGTCTTGGCTCTGTCATTCCTCTTACACTTGTAAGCATCTCAGCATGATTAGAAGGTGATCACATTTTCCTACAGCTTAGCTCTAAATTAAGCTGGCATTGTCTATGGCACTTTGATCAAAGAAATAGCAATCCATCTCACAGCCTGGGAAACAAACTTGCTGGGATGGGTTTTTTGGCAGAAAACGGTCAGTCTCCAACATGGTACCCTCCTTGTAAGGGATTTACAAGGGCAATGTTCACTATTCCATACCTTCACATGGACTTCGGAACCCATCACCATCTACCATGAGGCTTCCTTGCACACCAATCATGATATGGGCCATAGAGCTATAAGAGTGAAGACAAAGGAGATGAGGAGGGTCCAGCACACTCAGGGGCAGGTTCCTGGAAGATAAGAGAACTTGAGCTGTGTTCTGCATGCTGGGTAGAAATTAGAGAGGTGTACTTATGTGTTCCTTTTTGTGAGACTATAAGATGGTAAGGAAAGGGCATTATTGCCTAAAATAACCACATTCCTGATATGTGCTTGGGGGATGAATGGGTGGGTGGGTGGATGGGCGAGGTGGATGGATGGATGGATGAGTGGGTGGATGGATGGGTGGGTAGATGGATGGATGGATGGGTGGGTGGATGGATGGGTTGGTGGATGGATGGATGGGTGGATGGATGGGTGAGTGGGTTGATGGATGGATGGGTGGATGGATGGGTGGGTGGATGGAGGAATGGGTAAGTGGGTAGATGGATGGGTGGATGGATGGATGGGTGGGTGGATGAGTGGGTGGGTGAGTGAATGGCTAGATGGGTGGGTGGGTAGGTGGATGGATAGATGGGTGGATAGGTAAGTGGGTGGATGGATGGGTGGGTGGATGGATGGATGGATAGGTGGGTGGATGGATGAATGGGTGAGTGGATTGGTGGTTGGATGGATGGATGGATAGATGAGTGGGTGGGTAAAAGGAATGGATGGTTGGGTGGATGGATGGATGGATAGATGTGTGGATGGATGGGTGGGTAGATGGGTGGATGGATGGATGGATGGATGGATGGATGGGTGGGTGGATATGTGGGTGGATGCATGGGTGGGTTGAAAGCCAGGAGGTGCACTTTATAAAGAGGGAGCAACAGACAATAGTCTAGTGTGGAAAAATAAGAGATAAGGTTGAATTCTAAACTGCATTAAGTGACATGTAACAGTTTGTTCTTTGTTTTGCCAACAGTAAGTTAGTCTGAACAAGCACATGCCATGATGCGGACAGCTTTAGACAACTTCCATGAAAACTGGCACTTGTCTGGGAGGGACATCTTCTGTGTTCAGGGCATTAACCTTTGATTCAGAGATTAGAATAGAAATAGAGTATATAGGACACTGTTTTCCAGCCTTTTTTTTTTATCTCACCACACGGTTGAACCTGTGGTTAAACTTCTGTGGCACACTTAAATTATGTCGATCCAAAAAAAGAGTAAAAAAGAAAAGAATATATTTACTGGGCTTTGAACTTATTTCAAAAATAATTTAATTAATTATCTTCAAAAATTTTTGCACACTTGTGGCACACCAGTTAAAAATCACTGATGTAGGTTGTCATTACTGGAAAGGATGTGTTGATTATCTGAGGGAGCCAAGCCATGGAGCATAAAGTTAATGAGAGCCTGGGTTTTAAATCCAAGCCCTACCACTTAACACCTATGTGTAGATGGATGGGTGAATGGGTCAGTGGGTGGGTGGGTGGATGGATGGGTGGGTGGGTGTTTGGATGGATGGTTGGTTGGATGGATGGATGGAAAGATGGATGGATGGATGGATGGATGGTAGATGGACCCACCTATCCATCCATCCATCCACCCAACTATCCATCAATTCCCCACTCAGTCATCCATCCATCCATCCAACCACTCACCCATTCATTCATCCACCCACCCATCCATTTATCCATCCTGGGTTTTAAATCCAAGCCCTACCACTTGACACCTATGTAACCCTTGGTACATGATAATTACAGTAAGACTGTGGACAAAATACCAAGGGTAAAGGTTTAGGGTGGCTCCTGGCAGCTAGAGAGTGAAAAGTTTGTTCTGTTATCATATAACCTTCCACCAAAGACAAGAGCTCAAGCTCAGAACTGCAGTCTCTTTAAACCCCATTCCTTCATCAGCCTTACCTCCTTTCTTTTTGGGGACACCATGTTGTTCCCTGACTCCATTTCTCACTCTTTCCTCCCATCTTCCCTTCTCTCCCTCCCTGCTCTCTGCTCTTTCTTTCTCATCTCTTCCCTCCACTATTTACCCTCTCTCTAATATAAAATAATCTTCTGCTTTTATATCCTTAACAAACAAACAAAAACCTCCATTCACAAGAAGCTCAATACCGGGGATTCAAGTATTTTTCTTGGTTGGAGAAAATTCTGTTCCTTTCACATGTATTTTTTTAAAATAGTCACTCTATGCCTCGCACTCGTACGTACCCTGAGAACACAACAGTACACACTTTAACAAGATAGCTTAATATTCGTGTACATGCACACTTGTTTGTTTACTTATTTATAAGTCTTTCAAGTTGATCTGGAAAGCAAATTGACTACCCTACCCAAACTCCTACCCACCTGTCTATCTACTCTTTGGGACAATAAATATTACTACCACCTTTAGCCCTTCTTTATGTGACAATTCTCAAATCATCTGAGGACTATATTCTTCTCTAAATTAAAATTCTCATTGTTTTCATCCATGATTTGTAAATCAGGCATCTTTGTATTCTAGCTGTGTTTCTGTGGCTATTCTATTTATTTATTTATTTATTTATTTTTAGAGACAGTCTCACTCTGTTGCCCTGGGTAGAGTTCCATGGCATCACAGCTCCCAGCAACCTCGAACTCTTGGGCATAAACAATTCTTTTGCTTTAGTCTCCCAA